TCCCGGTCTCACTCAGATTTGTTTCTCAATTTAAAATTTGGTACGCGAAGTACCCGAAAGTTTAGGATTTTGGAATAAAATAAGTTTTGGTGTTGAATTAATTTAAAATGAGTCCAAAATAATTTATTCAAACACCAATTGATCGCGAAAATTTTTAATGAAGTGAAAATGACTATTTTGGAATTTCTTAAAATTGAATTTATAAAATAAAATTTTGAGTTGTTACACTCTATCCCCCTTAAAAGAAGTTTCGTCCCGAAACTTAAAAGAAACGAGTGGATCAAGTTCTCGAAGGGTAAAGGAAGATACAACAAAGAGGTTGAGAATTTTCTGTTGGAGTATTTTGGAAGGTTTAGGAATCTCTGAGTTCTCGTCTAACTTTAGCTAAAGTCTAAGCAACTAAACACATAACGAATCTATTAACTGAGCTCAAAAGCTTAACTAGTTACCTTGGTCAAAGCCCCCCGATGAACCTCCTGGCGGCATGTAGTTCGGATCTCATCCATAGGGAGTCCATCTTTGCACATTCTCAATTCCCATTCTTTGTTCCATCACCACTGCCCTTTGATCAAAGTTGGCAAATCCATAATTCACTTGGGCACTCAGGTTGTCAAATCGGTTGTTGATCATGGCATATAAGTCCTCGTAAGTGGGTCCTTGAGGTCCACTCATATAACCCTGTGGTGCTCCCGACGGGGTAGCTGGAACTGGTGCTCCCTCATGACTCATCCCAACTCCTTGATCGGCTCCCATGGCATTCCCTTCGCCACTAGCCTCAGCTATATGCCTAGCTTCAATCCCAACATTCGTCCACTTTCTTTGTGGCACATTCAAGCTAACCACAAGAGCAATTCTTTCATCTAAGGGCTTCTTGGCAATGTCAGCCAGGGTCAGGTACTTGTTTTCAGTGGTCTGGTACAGCTCATAGTACCTCAAATTTGCGGCATTCAAAGCCGTTCTAGTGGTTCTTTGTATCCTTTCTCCCAACTCGGGCAAATTCATCTTTTTGAAAACCCAACTCAACATCATACCGTAGGGAAAATTCTTCCTGTTCTTTGATTTGAAGTAAGACATGTGCTTAAGGATCAAAACTGGAAAATTAATTGCATGTCCAAAGCTCAACATGAAAGCAATTGTACAGGTCCAACTACCAATCTCTGTGGAGTTTTTCCTACACGGGAACAAGCATTCCTCTATCAATAACACCAACAATTTCCTCTCTCCAGTCAACGTGGGTCTCTCAGGGCGGTATTCCTTAGGGAACTCTTCCCTACTTCCAGTCATGTATCTCAAATATTCACGGTATGACAACTCTTCGTGGGCAACCCACTCATCCCGATCATAGATGTCCAGTTCATCTAAGGGTTGGTAAACCAATTGGACAACTTCTGTGGTGTCAATTCAACTTTTGTACCTCTCACATTAGAGGTAATCATAGTCACACCATTTTTATATTTTGTGGACAAGTTCTCATAAAATTCAATCACCAAATCAGGATAAATTTCTTCTTGAATTCTCAAAAATTTCCTTAACAAACTAAGATTCTCCAATATACTATTAAAATCCTCAAAAAAGAACTCAGGAAAATAAATTTTACCTCCTATTACTGAGTAGGTAGGTCCTTCTTGACTGGTTTCCTCTACTTGTTGTTTTCCCTTCACCATTGTGGTCCCAAGCTTTTTGACTTGATCTTGTTCAAATTGAAGTGGATGACCCAACTAGTATTTTTCTTGCACTTAGAATAGCCTGTGGAAGACACTTTTGAAGTTCCCTTGATGAAAGATGAAGATTTGAAGGAGATAGGTTTTTAGTTGGGGTTGAGGCAATGAGCAGCGAAAAGAGGAGAAGAAGAAGATGAATTTCAACACATTGTTTTTGGGAGAGAATCTGGTAAAGGCTTAGGGTTTTGAGGCGGGGCTTGGAAGCGGCCCTTCTTGGGCTCCGGTTCGAAGGTCCGGTGTCAGCGCTTGCTGACACGGCCTCAGGTCATGGACCATCACGTGGTACGTGACCACGTCCCGTACAACGGAACGGGGTCCATTGTGGCCCGTGATGTATGACGTCCAACAGCGTGGTGCATGACTTCTTCGGAGAGTGATGAAATCAGCATTGACATCAATGCTTTGTCGTGGCGATACCACACGGCATGAGCCGGGTTTGGTTGTCATTTGCTGTCGGCAACAACCGGCATGAAGGTCGACGGGCATGGGTTAGTCCCATCAATAAACCTCATGAGCCCGTGTCCCTCTAAAAATGGAACTACTTGTGTCCTCCAAAACAATAAATTTTTGGGGGTAAGCTTAATACTGATAAAGTGATGGGCAGTAGAAAGCGAATTAACAGCAATATAACCAGAGCATCAGAAACGATCCGCTCAGGGGAGTTAGCAGATCCATTAATATTATCGACTTGGGTTCCATTGAGAGAAAATAGGAAAGGAAGCTGAGACTACTGATACCAGATGAGAACTGTATAAACTATATTAGATGAACAATTTATAACTGTACAAATTGAGAGAATATATACAAGAGAGAATCATAGGAAAACTAGGATAGAGAGTCATAATGCGACTCAAATACAAAGAGTCATAACACTAGTCCTAATAAAAACAACAGAAGAAAAGAATTGATAAGTTCATTACCATCTGACAAGAATTCATTGTTGTGAATCTTTTTGTGTCTCATATCTGCATTATCTCTATCTCTTGCTAAGCCTAACAGGTCGGCTAGGTTTTTTGGTGCTTTCGATGGACTGGGAAGGTGGGCATTAATGAAGAATTAGAACTATTAACGAGGAATAAATTTTTTAACGGAAAAAATTAACTGTGTGGGGTATTTAAAGGAAGAAAATAATATAACCAAAGATACATTTGAAAATCTCAACAAAAAAAAAATTAAAATAAAAACAATCTGAACCATTCATTTCATTTAATAATTTGACAGACATTTTGTAGTACCATTATAGGCCTAAATTTATTAGCTCTCATATATATATATATATATATATATATATATATATATATATATATATATATATATATATATATATATATATATATATATATATATATATATATATATATATATATATATATATATATATATATATATATATATAAGGTTCAAGTGCGGTGGTGCGGCGTCACCAATAGTTCAACAAATATACACCATCAACGTTAGGAAAACACACTACAAAAATACACACAAATTAGGTACACATCACCAAAGACACACCCTTAGGTGTGAGTAAAAACATCATCCAGTATTCGAAAATACACCATTGGGGTGGTTTGTTATATGGTGTATTTTTTTGGGTCTGTTATGTAATTTTTTTATTTTTATTTTTTATTTTTTGCATTTCATTGTGGTGTGTTTCCCTTACACTGTTGGTGCATGTTGTTAACACTGTTGGTGTATTCTAAAATTCCGCCGCACCGCTACACCTAAAGCCCTCGCCGCATTTGAACTTTTTCTCATATATATATATATATATATATATATATATATATATATATATATATATATATATATATATATATAATTGCCACCACACGTTTTTAATCAGTGTTAATCCTGAACGTTGATTTAGGAAATATCAATGGCTCAGATTTAACCACACAACTGCACCTGGAAAGGCCTACCGCACGCGAACACAATTATATATATATATATATATATATATATATATATATATATATATATATATATATATATATATATATATATATATATATATATATATATATATATAATTGTGTTCGCGTGCGGTAGGCCTTTCCAGGTGCAGTTGTGTGGTTAAATCTGAGCCATTGATATTTCCTAAATCAACGTCCAGGATTAACACTGATTAAAAACGTGTGGTGGCAATTTGGTCTTTTTGCATCTAGGTCAAATTTAAGGTGCTTAGTTTTCCTTCTTAAGGTGCGTGGTTTCTGTGCTTAAGGTGAGTGATTTTTGTGTTTATGGTGAGTGATTTTTGTACTGTGTGGCTTAAGGTGCGGCAGGTATTGGATATTTAAATGTGTCGATCAAAAACTTTAGGTGCGTGATTTTCTTTCTTAAGGTGCGTGTTTGTGTGCTTAAGGTGCATCAGTTGTTGAAACTTAAGGTGCATCGGCCTAAAGCTTTAGGTGCGTGGTTTTCCTCCTTAAGGTGCGTTGTTTTCCTTCTTAAGATGTGTGTTTTGTATGCTTAAGGTGCGTCAGTAGTTGAAACTTAAGGTGCGCCATTTTAAAACTTTAGGTGCGTAGTTTGTGTTCTTAAGGTGCTTTGTTTGTCTGCTTAAGGTGTGTGATTTGTGTACTTAAGATGCATCATTTAAAACTTTAGGTGCGTAATTTGTGTTCTTAAGGTGCTTTGTTTGTGTGCTTAAGGTGTGTCGTTTGTGTACTTAAGGTACGTCTTTTTGTGTTAACCGCACAACTGCATGCAAAGTTATATATATATATATATATATATATATATATATATATATATATATATATATATATATATATATATATATATAAACTTGCCATCCCTAATTAAGTGTATCAATTTCTTCAATTTTGTCATTTTCTAAACAATATACAAACCTCAAGACTTAGCTCATGTCTCAAGACTAAAACTCTTTATCATGTGTTTGAATATCTTATTTGATGCGATTAAGTCAATATTTTAAATATTCTTGAAAAAAATATATACTGATTACCTATAATCAATTAATAGTTTTTTTTTTTTTTCAAAAACATAATCAATTAATAGTTAATTTGAGGAAATCATATAATTTGAGACTAAATATAGAACCAATATCAATGTAATATCACCACCTACAAACCCTGTTATTTTATTAACAATTTTGTTCATCTCGTTTATTGTTAGTAGAACTATTTCTTCTTTTTGAGTTTATTAATTGCAGAATATATTTGTCATCAATTCCTTATAAATATTGTATTGAAGGAGAATAATAATAATAAATAAATAAATAAATAAATAAATAAATAAGAGTTGGACATTAGTATGTTGAGGTCAAGCTGGGACAGTCATTTGTTTTTGTATTTCTTTTGGAAGAACAGAACAAGTTTCTCCATCTTCATTCTTCAGTTTTGACATTGCAAGAAAGAAACCCCAACTTTAAGAATTAGACTGTATCTACATGTATCCTTCTGTGAACTAAAGCACTATCAATCCAACAAACTATTTTCCTGTTCCCAGCATGCAACTATGTGGTCATGGCAGCATCCAAGCTAGCTAAGAAGACAGCAACAACAAACAACAAACCTGACTGACCAAAATGATTGGGTTTCACTAGATGATTATTTCTTGCAGCCCTAAGGAGCTTCACAAAGTTTCCTCCTAACAAAAAGATCAAGAGAAATAAATTAGCACAACTATTAACAGTAATTATAATTCAAGATATAATGCATGCAGTACCTGATGACTTATGCGTGGGGTAACCCCAGCCAAAATGACTAAACATACAAACCTATAACCACATCACGGGTTCAAATCTCAGCCTTCTTGGTTTGAGCCGGTCAGCTATGGACAACCTAAACTGGCTACCTCCTTGTGGTCCTTTGCCAACTAGGGTCACAAGGCGAGGATTACCCTATACACACCCTCAGGTAATGGTTACAGGTTTCCCTCGTCACCCAAAAAAAAAAAAAAAATAGCCAACTCACTGCCACTCCTGGTTGCTGCTGCTTTCTCCTCTTGAAAGTCTTCAGCAATTCCTTCCCTTTCTCTGAAACCCTTCATTTGCAAATTCCCATTGGTCTGGATTGATTTTTCTGAATTGCTAAACCATCACCAAAAACAGTTCCAGTCATACACAATTTACAACACTTCCCAATCAGATAGCCCAAACTAGGGAAACAAAAATGCAAATTAAATCCTTATATGGGTCAGTGTTTACCCTATCTTCTTAACCAGTTTCTTAACTGATTTCAGCACTATAAAATGTGGTGACTAGTCTAGTTAGTTGTGGTGGGTTGACCAATCCACAGTAACGAATGAATACAAAGAGATGTTACATATATCACAAGTCAAATCAAATCATTTGTCAATGAAGTGAATTCTAAAATACATAAGCCCAAGTTCTAGCATCGAACAAATATTGGTAGTGAAAGCAGTAATTCTAGCAGTAGCGTTACCTTATTCCCATAAGAGAAATCACTTTGAAGGTAGTTGTTATGTAAAGCTTATTTGATGTTTTTGATATTGTGAGATAAATACTGAGCTTATACACGTTTGACATGATTATGAATTGTGTAATAGTCTTTACCTTTGTAGTTTTGACCTAAGAATCCACAAATAACTTGGAGTATATTATCAAACTTGTAGCCCACGTCAAAGAAAAGAACACTTACATTTAATAAAGAAGTCGCTCCTGTGATATATAGACTGGGTGGTTAGCCATTGCTCAGGCATTCTCTTTGTTTTTCTTAATCTTAATAATGCAGGAAGAAAAACAAAGTAACATGTTTATCTAACCTGCAGTATATAAAGGAATGCTAGTGTTAGCCATGTCTCTGAGAAGTGTGTACTATATAACTGAAAAGCACATGCAGGATTTCCTTATGGTTAACTCATATTAAACTGAAAATTTGGGTCAAAATAACTAATTAGGAAAAAAGGAGTCTCATTTCATGGAAAGAAATAAAAACAAATAATTCAAGAAAAGGAGAGCAAAGGGCATATTGGAAAATTTTCTGCTTCTTCTCAATCACATGAATAAGGCAAAATAACCTTTTGTTTATCTCTTCCCATTCCTCTCCATGGAGCAATATTGTGACATTGAATGAGTACTGTAAATGAGAGCAAGGATGTACAAACTTCAAAACTGCTGAGGCCATCCTAAGAGTAATCTTTTGAACCCTCAGCGATGCTCTTTGATGTTGGAACTCGCAACAGAGGCACCACCAATTGATTGGTCTAACTTGATTCCAGACTCGAACTTAGCTGCGAATGCTAATGTTGATTGGAGAGCCTTTTGTGCTGAGCTTGGTATATTTGCCAAGAATGTTGTCTTTGATGAGTTGGGCATTCCTTCACTGTGCCCCACTGCAGATTGACCCATTAGCTGATTTGATGGAAACGAAGAAGATGAAAACTTAAATTGCATTTCCCCCGAGCCACCAAGTCTATTTAGTGAACCTTGTATCCCTTGAACCACAGGTGACGCAGTCTTGTACTCTTTATTACAGATTATAGCTTGCTCTGTTGAACAAGTAACATCCAATGACACTTTGCCAAATGAGAGTAAGCTTATGCCCCGAGGCATAGATTTAGGGGGAGTTCTGGTTGTCATCTCATTTCTACAACTACCACCACTCCTTGGAGATGAGGCAGTATCCTTACCTTTACTAAATTCATCTAACTGAAATTTTCCAATTCTATAATCTCTGTTAAGAAAGCTTGGTATTGTCTTAGAACTGGAATCAGTCAAAGGAGCTCTAGCAAGGGAAAGGAAGTTTATCCCATGTGGTATCCTTGAAGTTGGTCCCTTGATAACGTCGTTTGGCTTTTGAGTATTGTCTGACTTAGAATGGATTTCCTCATGATTAAATTTGCCAGAATCACCTTCCTTCAATGATGAACCAAATTCTTTATGATTAGTATCGCCAACTGGCAACTTCCCATGACTGAGAAAGCTTACACCTTTTGGTGCACGCACAGCAAGCTTTTGGACAGTGTCACCTACAGTATGCCCTGTGTTCTTCCCAGGAAAAAGCTGAGAGCTACCATGAGCATTCACTTGCATCTTTGGGCTTAAACTATTTGGAAGTAAAGGTGAACTCAACTCAGCCTTGGAGATGATAGGAGGTGCCGAAGACTCTGTCTTAGCTGGCACCTGAAATAATGCCAGTAACATATGGTAAAGCAGTTGAAGTTGAAAAAGAGAAAGGTCATATTCCAAACAAATATAGTATTGAACAATACAGAGAGGATTCATACCTTGTGTGAGAACAAACAGTCTACACCTCTGCTGCAAAAACCGTTGGATACAAAATTATTGCATGGATATTTGGAGAGCTGATGATCAAATGGGCAATCATCACCTTTCATGCAAGAATGGCGTGCAAAATGGCAGCATGGCTGAAACATCAGAATCATCATGTCATATACATATATATAATCTTTAAATACATGAACACTATACAAAGTATATTTAACATGGTTTAAGATGACGCTTAAGGTGCATATCAAATTGCAAATGAAATTGAAAATAAAATTTAAATATAAAATATAAAAATCAAAGAAGAGGTCTAAGCCCTAAATCATTGCAGTAATGAGGCAGGCATAAGAGCAACCACAGTATACCTTGGATTTGGTTAATGGAATTATATCATGAGAGAATTTGCACTTTTCACCCTGTAAAAGAAACAGTATGTGAATACAAGCATGCAAAATTTACAAATTTCCTTAGAGACCAATACCAATAACAATAACAATATTGTAGGACGCCAAATCACCTCGTGGCACCTTCCTTTCTGATAATGGCGGCAATATGACACTGTTTTTGGTTTCACAGTTGGTGGCAGCTTTAGTCTTTTCACTCCTAGCTTTATGTTCTTTTGAGCTCGCTTAATCCTCTCTTTGCACTGTGAAATATATTAGATATATTGTAGGCATCAAATGTCAAAAAAGCAGGGTGAAAATTCATGAGAATAATAAATGCATAAAAAGGAACTTTAGTTGAAGAAAGAAACAAGTACCTTTTTCTTTGCTCTTTTTTCCTTGGTTATAGGGCCTCTCTTCTTTTTCCTTTTGCCTTCATTTACAACCTGTAACGAGAAAGACAGCATAAAGATTCAGGTGAGATTGGCATACATCAACTAGAAAGGAATACATAAAAATCTCTTAATTATATTAAACCCTGAAACCTTATAGGGTAAGAAATCATACTTAATAGAGCATTGGAAAGGAAGTAAATATCTAATAGCATGAACTAAATTGAACGCAATGTTGATAAATTTGGAGAAAAATACAAGGCATCTTCAAAATCATCTCAAAGCATCTGAGAAAGCAACTAATTAGAGCCACGTATATAGTTAATCCTTGTGACCCCAAATTTTACTTTAGTTTTTTATGGGCTATATGATGATTATGTTCATTGTGGGACAAGGCTATAAAAGTATGAGAACTATACTGATTCTCAGAGTAGAGCAGAAAGAAGATTTCTGATTACTGTACAACCAACAGTCCAATTTTACACAAGCAGCAAACAAAGGCTTTTGGTTTAGTAAGATACATATTACAAAGAAAACCCTGCGCTTGCTTCAAAAGAAATTGCAACCCAGTTATGCATGAGCTTGAACTTTACCACAAATAGTACTTAAATAAGGTTAAAAAGAGAGGGACAAGAAAACATTCAACCAATGTTAAGAATGCAATGAAATCCAAGGAGGAAATCAGTTATCCATACCTCTAACTCAGCATCAGTAACAGAACCTTTACTTTTAGTAGCATTTTCTAAGGAGACTGTCTTCAATGCCAAACAAGCTGCAGAACTGTCTACCTTCCCAACACCATCTACTTGTCCATTAACTATTTCACTATCTATAACATTATCAAACCCATCAATCTTCTCAGTCTCAACATCTTTCTGGTAAACAACCATTTCAAAGTCACTCTCCTCCACCTCAGATTTTTTTCCAAGAAGCTCCTTAGAAATATTGCTGCAACCATCTGCTGAATCATTAGAAAATGAAGTCAGTACATGCTTTTCCTGAAGTTTGGTGTCCAGAACATCAAGAATGAACTCTTTTTCAGCTGTGATACTCACATGAGTATGCCCTTGCTCTAGTGACACTGTGTCTTCAAACATGTCACCATCTGATTCATCACTAACCCCAGCATCCCCAGAAATTTCCCCTTCTTCAATCTCTTCAACTACAGTTTCAGGAACTGATGAATTAGCTGCTCCAGAGGCAGAGATCAAATTTTGTAATTCCATCTCTTTAAGTTGCGATCCATGCTCCATGCCTTTCAACAAATTCTTCTCTGCAACATGGCTTTTCTCTTCACTGCTCAGAGCAAGTAGAGTCAGTTCATTATCCTCGTCCATAAAACATGATTCTGGGTCATTAGACTTATCTTCTTGTTCATTATACACCTGCAAAACAAGAGTACCAGCTTGGTTGTTGTCCACCAAAGCGTTTGAGATCCCATTGTTAGCACCATTCTTTTGAGGGACTCCCCCATTAACTTCCATTGCATCATCATTGGGATCAAGAATACTAGCTTGATTGTTGTCCACCAAGTTTTGCAGTTCCATATCTCTAAGTTGCAATTCGTGCTCCATGTCTTCCAAAAGATTATTCTCCGCAACATGGCCTTCCTCTTGACCACCCTGAACAACTTGAGACAGTTCATTATCCTCATCCATAAAACAAGATTCTATTGTGGCACAAGCTTCACGAATAGATATTTCTTTATCCATATGTTGCAGTTTTGTGATATCAGATTCCCCCACTTGCAATTCTGGGGTGTTAGACTTATCTTCTTGCTCATCATACAACTGCAAAACAAGAGTACTAGCTTGATTGTTGTCCACCAAAGAGCCTGACCCATTGTCAGTACCATTCTTTTGAGGGACTTCCCCGTTAACATCCATTGCATCATCAATGTGGTCAAGAGTACTAGCTTGATTGTTGTCTACCAGATTTTGTAGTTCCATCTCATTCAGTTGCAATCCATGTTCCATGTCTTCAAAAAATTTATTCTCTGCAATATGGCTTTTCTCTTCACGACTCTGAACAAGTTGAGTCAGTTCATTATCCTCATCCATAAAACATGACTCCATAGTGGCACAAGTTTCATGAACAGAGATGTCTTTATCCATATTTTGGAGTTTCACAAGATCAGATTCCCCCAATTGTAATTCTGGGGTGTTAGACTTATCTTCTTGCTCATTATATGACTGCAAAACCAGAGTACTAGCTTGATTGTTGTCCACCAAAGAGCTTGAGATACCGTTGTTAGCACCATTTTTTTGAGGGACTTCCCCATTAACTTCCACTGCATCATCAATGTGATCCAACAAATCAATACAATATTTTATTTGCCCCTCACTGATATCACCCATTTCCTGCGATATGTCATGAGTTCTGTTTTTCTCATGATCAATATCATTCACTAACTTAATTTCGGCCTCCATGTGTTGATCAACTAATGCACCATGAGCAGTGATCTCTTTTCCTGATTCTGAACAACCAGTTTCTTCTTGAAAACCAGAAACCCATAATCAGTATGCATCGACACAATTTCAAGAAAAGACAAATAACAAAATAACAAAAAAAGAAAAAAAAATAAGGATCCAAACAATAAATGTATTATATGCTTGATGGAATCCAATACTTAAGACTTTAGTAGTTTAATCTTCTGCAAAGTAAAATTTACAGTAATGAGTGCAATACAAAAATACAAATGCAAAGCAAATATAAATCAAAAGAAAGCCCAAAGTTGCTTAGGAATATTTTTTTCGGCCATGCCAATATGCGCAACTGTGCAAGTCCAAATTTTTAAATTACCTTGTTTTTCCTGAGAAGATTGAAGTTCAGAGCTGGTGGGGCAATGGGATAGGATGTGAATCAGCGTGCGGTAAGTCTCACTCATCAAAGTTCGGCGACGATGAGGCGGAGGGAAATGGAAAGCATTTTGGGAAGGTTTTGTCCTGTCCAACTCAGAGCAATTTTCCATTCCTGCTGAAACCCTGAGTGCTCCCTCCCTCTCCCTCTTTGAGGTTTTCAGAAGTAACTTCCAAGAAACTGCAGCACCAAAGAACTAATAGTCAGTAAAATTGGCCGCATGCCGACTACAACAAAATTGAGCTTTTGAGGCATTTAAATCTGCCCTAATAGTAGGGATGCCAATAGGGCCAACCCACTCAGTTTTGGGCTAATCGACTTTTTGGGGTTGGGTTTAAAATTCTTGGCCCTAACCCTAAAACCTTGGGCTGCCGGGCTTGTCGGGCGAGCTCAACTAAAACTTTTGACATTTTAAACTTTCAATTTTAATAAACTAACACATTTATACTAATAAATATAAACTTATACATCATTCGATCAATATAAACCTCCATTTGTAAATTTCAACTAAAAATAATTAATATATTTACACTATATAATATAATAATTATAATAAGTTTTTTATTTTTCATTGTTTATTTTAATAAAAAATATTTCATTTTGTAATAAATTTATTAAAATTTTATTTAGAAATTTAATAAAAATAAAAATTACTAAAGATGAGCTTAAATATAAATTCCCTATATATTTTGTTCCACATCACTTGTGAAACAAAGAATAGCCTTAAGTGGCTCGGGCTATCATGCTAGCCCACTAATTTTGGGCTAGCCCATTCGGGCCATCGAGCTTATCGATTTCGGACTTATCGGGCTAAAATTTCTTGGCCCTAATCTTAAAAGTTTTCGGGCTTATCGAGTAAGCCCATCAATTTCAAGCTAAGATTAGCATCCCTACCTAATAGTACGCCTAATGAGGCATTTATAGAAAATGCCTCCTCTATTGATGCAGCATTAGGGGTAAAGGGACATGTTAAGGTGCCTGAAGGGCATTAGGGCTAATGGGGCATTTAATGTTCATGGAGAGGTATTAAAAATTAGACATCACTTTAAAGATGTAATGAGGCATTTTGAAATGCCTCTAAAAATGTAGTCCAATGTTAGATGTTTTGCGGCATTTTAAAGTGTCTCAATGATGCTTCTAATTTTAATAGATGTTTCATTTTGTACAAATGTACAATTCAGCAGAAATTTCAATAAAATAGTTCACAAGTGCTAGCCATCAAAATTATATCTACCTCCAAGACCTTTGAAAAACAAAACTCTGTTTACTGAAATAAAACCTAAAACTATATAACAAATTTATAAAATTAAAAAGTAAAAAAAAAAAAAAAAAAAAAAAAAAAAAAAAAAGTTATGAGCTCTTGTGCCTGTGTAAAGTTCCCTGAATAAAGAACAACCTCACTTTTTGCTGTCAAATTTGTGTTTCATCTCCAAAAATGTCATGTAGCCTCTTTATCGACATTAGTCAAAAATTGTCTGAACCATTTAATATGCGAAAAAGTGGCCTCAACCATTGACAGAGTAATTAATTGGAACACAAAAACAATGTATATGATGTTTATAAAGAAAGAATTACCAATAATTACAAACTCATAAAATTAAATTGTTAGCAGGAATTACCAATTGAAATCTTTCTATACAAAGACAAAGACTAAGTTGTAGCTCTTATATTAATTGACTCTATGCAATCAGATTGTAAGTATAAAGCAGAACATGTTAAACCTTTATGGTTCAACAAAGAAATAAGTATAAACAGATGATGTAAGTATGAGTTATACCAACAATGAAAATCAAGAAGGACAAAATTAAAATGTGCATTATATTGACCAAGGCACTAGTCCATTTTATTTATTAAAAAAAAAAAAAAAAAAAAAAAAAAAAAAAAAAAAAAAAAAAAAAAACAGAAAATTTACTCCTCATAATATACAAATAGGAGATGTTCACTGAGAACCTTCAACTCTTTGGTTGTCGTACTTCAACTGCATTTCCCCATCCCAAAAACAAACCCACCATCTAATTCATTCATGAATATCACACAATCAGTTTCCTAATAGGCTCATAAATCCATTTAAGAATATAGATAAATAAATTTGGTATTTTTCATGAGCACTTAAGCATATATGCCCCAAATATTCTTGAATTCCTACTTTATTCCACCTTATTCTTTTCCCACCAAATTACAATTCATTTCTCCCTAATTTCTTCCTCCCAACCAAACACCCTGTACTACTCAATCATTCTTGGACCCTAGGTAGCACCTAGCACCTCTGCTGTAGTTCATCAAAATGGTTTACTAAAACCTAGGACTGTAGGAAGTGAACTAACATATGGGATGCTAAAAATACTACTGAACATTTGGTTAATCTAGGTATGAAATGTTTTTGTTATATGCTAAACAAATTACCTTATAAACCCTTGGATTAGAGAATATTGGCCAAAGAATTCCCGTCATGTCATGCAGGCAATTACTTCCCCAAGATAGTGTTACCTCTTAGTTTATATTGACTCATAATAGGCAACGTAACAGTATACAATGCACTTACAATAACATACTCCGTATACGCAATTTCATAAGCATGACTTGCAAGCACAAACAGGACAACATTAGTCTGTTATGGTCTAACTACTGTAATTTACTCGGACAACAAAATAAACTGAACTTGAATTAAAGAGGTGAGCCATAAGAAAGTTCTAAAACTATGCTGCTACTTATGGACAACAAATTCTCTCTCCACTCAACACCTTCACTAGCTCTAGCAACTGTGACTCCATCTCCACCCATCTTATGAATCAGAACTTGCCAATTCCTTCAAGTTCTCATAAAATAATTAATAATCCAAAACCAATTCATATATTCCTCTATCAAACACATCAATTTTAGTTAAATCCAACAAGAACTACAAGATTACAAAATTTTTAAATTTGTGTATATTACCAGAGGTGGAGCCATGGAGGTGTTGTTGGAACGGGGGAGGCTGAGCCCTGAGGTTTGTATTCCACTTTGAGATAGCATGGAGAAGATGAAGGCTTTCAGCAACTTAGTTTTCTATGATTTTGGAGTTTCAATGTGAAGGTGGCCGGACTACCATCTTCTTCATTGATCAAGGCCGGTACTTGCTACCACAACTCACTCTTCTCGCTAGTGGAAGAGAGCGAACATATGAATTAGGGGTGTGGCTCTCATGGACTTCGGGGGTTAAGGCCTAAAGAGTTTCAATCAAAATAGGTTTTTGTGACAGTTTAGTCTAAAATTGCAACATCTAAAGTGCCTAAATATTCATATTTGGTGTAGCGAGCAACTGAAACAGAGAATCCTATGCGCTTATTCAGTTGAAAAAAAAAAAAACCGTATCTGTTTCTATATAGGGGTGGGCATTTCGGTATTCGGTTCGTTTTTTTTTTTTTGGTTTCGGTTTTGGTATTTCGGTATTAAAAAAAATGATACCATCCGGTTTAACATTATAGTTCAGTTCAGTTTGAAAAAGTTCAGTTTCGGTTCGGGATTAATTTGGTTCGGTATTCGGTTCAGTTTAAGAACCCCAATTTTCAACATTTCCTAATTTTTCAAACACATTACCAAACAATACATATTCACATAGTCCAAATTCAAAGTCACAAAATAACAATCCAAAGTTCAAACATTTTACTAAGTATTAACTACCAAACATAAGACTACAAAGTACAAACATGAAACATCACATAGTTAAAATCCAAAGTTCAAAGACTACAAACATGAAAGTATGAAACATCACATAGTCCAGTAAACTGGTGCAGTTTATTGGAATTTATAAATTCCAGTAAACTGGTTCTAGTTTACTGTAAGTTAAATTCCAGAATTTAACATGGAATTGTGAGTTGACTGAGTTCTTCAATAGGCAATTAGGCATTGCTAACAAGTTAACCACCAGCACAGAATTACTCAATCGTGAGTTCTTCACAGATTCTCTCAAGCAAACATCCAAAATTTCTACTCAAATCCTAGTAATTTACAGCTAATAAATTTCCTTCTAACAAAATCCTTCTCAAAAAAGCCATGGCAACAAACAAATAAAAGGGGGAAAAAGGCACAGGTTGTAGAAAATAAAAAGAAAGTAGCCCCTCACCTCTCTGGTCGCCGGTTGGTCTTCAACGGTGGTAGACAGCGGTGAGGCTACGGTGGCGAGGAGCGAGGAGACTGGTCACTGGTGGTAGACGGCGTTTAGAGTTCAGACTTCAGACTACGGTGGTCGGTGGCGAGGAGAGTGAGGGCTTGTGGGTGCATCGTGCGTGGCTGCGTGGATACCGGCTTCGTATGGAGTTATGGACTATGGCGTATGCGATTGGGGTTGTGAGTTGTGACCGCTCTTCAACGATGGTAAACTGCTCCACCAGTTCTTTTTTAATGCACCGCTCCACTAGTTTAAGTGTTTAAGTTATTATTATTACTACTAATTCGGCAAATTATATTATGCACCGCGGTGCATAATCGATTATGCACCGCGCGTCTTTTTTTTTAAATGAAAATTAACAGTGTTTGTTTCCGCCGTTTCGCACTCTTTTATAAAAAGTAACTCTGTTATTCAGTGTCATTTTGTATACACTGCAGTTTCAGTTGAACACAACTACAGTTTCATTTCGATATAACTATAGTTTCATTCGATATTTATAGACACAAATATGTGAAAATGTTATTTAATTTTATTTTATATACACTATAGTTTCATTAAAACACAACTACATGATCATTTTGATATAATTATAGCTTCATTGTACAATATACACTCAAATATGTGAAATGTTATTCAGTTTCAGTTTATATACACTGCAGTTTCATTTCACTATAACTACAGTATCATTTTGATATAACTGTAGTGTCGGTTTGGATATACTGTAGTGTTAGTTGGTGTTTAATACACCAAATAAGCGGACTCCGTTAACTCTAACGGCGGGCCGTTTCTTTACTTAAAGAAACGGTGTCGTTTTGACCGCGGTGCACATGCACCGCGGTCTATAATATAACGACTGTACTAATTCACCCGCGCGATGCACGAAAAAAAATTATGTTATTATAAATATAAATAAAAAATAAAAAAATTAAAATATTTTAAATTATTTAATATAATAATATTTTTGAGCTTCCATTGGTCAAGTAGTATTTATTATTTTTATAGAATACAAAATTACAATTAAAATTAAAATTAAAATTAAAATTTTGTATGGTTAATATAATCTCTAATTATGTGCATATTTAAGTAAACTTATAGAGATAATTTACATAATTACATTAATTTATTCTTAATTGTATTTCATCTATATTATAATTTTCACAATACAAATAATAACTAAGATAATTACATTTGGAAAGCAAATTTCAAATTTTGTATGTGTAAATTTAAACTCTAATTGAACACATTTTTTATATGATTATATAATATATAGCTATTTTATTTTTCAAAAGTATATTTTTTATATGATTATATAATATATAGCTATTTTATTTTTTAAATGTTGTTTTTTTTATATAATAAAGGATATTGTGGCATTAATTGCAACATTAATTATTTCCCAAACCATATAGCTTTATTATATAAAGGATTATTTAAGGGAAAATTGCAATTTTCATTTTTAAGTTGTAGTATAACAAAATATATTAGACGGTGTTTATTTAAAAAAACATCCATCTATTAAGTGACGTAATATGTCATTTATGTAGTAGTGATTATGGACCAAATTTAAAATTTTAGTATAACTCAGGAACGAAAAGTGCAACGCCAATGATAACTTAGGGACGAAAAGTAATCATGATTAACACTCAAGACGAATTCTACAATTACTCTATATAACTCATGGACGAAAAGTGCAACACCAATAATAACTTAGGGATGAAAAGTGAGCATGACCAACACTCAGAGACGAATTCTACAATTATCATATAACTTAGGAACAAAAAATGCAATTTTTCTTTATTAATATTAAGATTAATATATATATATATATATATATATATATATATATATATATATAAACAAAACAGTCTTCGGTTCGTTAACAACCGAACCAAACCAAACCAAACCAAACGGTCTTTGGTTTAGTTCGGTAAAAAACCGAATCGTTCGATTCCTATAGAACATGTACCGTTCGATACTTCAGTAATATACGAACTGTTTTGCCACCCCTATTTCTATATATACACGGAGAGAGAGAAAGAAAGATGAGGCGACGGATTAACCTAGGAATGAAGCAAAAAGAAGGAGCTCTGTTGGTGTTGCACGGCAGTCGGCACATAAGAATTCCAGTGAGGGAAGATAGAAGAAAGAGCGCGGGATGGATGGAGCAATGGTTAATTATAAAGTGGCCCATGGCCCAAAACTGCATTGTTCGTTGAATGTAAAAGAGACGGATCAAATTAATAGTTAAATGTGTAGATTTTATTTATCATTGCGGGTAAATGTGTTCATTCTCTAGCAACTCAGTTATAAGAATGAATTGATATCCTAATTCATTTGTATGGAAAATATATTTTTGTCTAGATATATAACAATTTTTTTCATTTAAAAAAAAACATAATATCACCGGTTATATTTACACGTTATTGAAACCTCTTTGTAGACGACATTTGTAATGGCAACACAATCTTATCCATCCTCGTCTAGAGCTAACACCTTCAGTCCATCCGGACGGGTGACTCGGATGAAAATATATAATGGTAGAATATCACTCAATTAGTGATCCTTTTATATTTTCAGTTAATTAGTAATATCAGATTCATTTTAAGCCAATTATTCTTTTTTTTTATTTTCAGTCAATTAGAATATATCGAAGTATGACTATTTAATTGACATATAATTAACATAGTCATGCAATAATGTAGTAACAATATTCTATGTGCAAAGTTTTCTCAAAATAGTTTGCTCATTGCATGACTATTTTTCTCTAGGAAATCAATGAGCTCGGGTCCATATGTATATCATATAATACCTATACTATAGTTAATTGGTTTCCAAAAAATAATCGAAAATTAAAATATCTTGCTTGCTTTCTCTCCCTCTCTAGGGTCTTTCTTTTCTTCCTCCCGCTAGGGTTTACTTGCTACGGACGACGAACGGTGCACGATCACCGGCTAAGAGCATGGCGACGGAAACACAGCAGCACGGCGACAGAAGGATGGATGACTTGACCGAACGATGGGGAGATATGGTGTTGGAGGATGAACAATGTGGCATGGAGGCCGACGTACCGGAGCATGTTCCGGCCGGGATGGGGGCACCCATGTACTGTGTTGTTAGGCGTTTCTTGACGCAGAAGCTAATCAAGGTGGAATATATGCGTCAGGTAATGGCTTCTGCATGGCAGCCTGTATTTGAGATTCGTGTGACGAAGTTGCATAATAGATTGTTTCTTTTTGCTTTCTATCATGAAACGGATATGGTGCGAGTGTTGGAGAAGGGTCCGTGGTCCTTTGAGAACCATACACTAGTATGTAGGCAAGTATGTGATGGATACCTTCCGGGGGAGGTCAAACTTGATACTGTTGATATGTGGATACAAGTCTATGACCTACCTATGGGTTATACTTCTAATGCAGTTCTTGAGCAGGTTGGGAATTTTGTAGGGTCGTTTATCCGGTGTGATGATCGACAGGTGGGTGGCCCATGGAAGACGTTCTACAGAGTGCGTGTTTCGGTACCAGTGGACAAACCGTTAAAACGCTGAATGAATCTGATACGCCAGGATAAGTCATGGGGTTGGGTGAATCTGAAGTACGAACGGTTACATAACTTCTGTTTTTGTTCTGGTTTGCTAGGACATCTTGACAGCTTCTGTGCAAAAGGCACGGGTTTCCAATATCAAACCGGAGTTTTACACTTTTACCCGTACGGGGCATGGATGAGAGCGGGACAGACCAGGGGTCCGAGACCGGTGGGGGAGTCTTGGTTGCTTCCACCGTTGGGAGCTGCTAATGAAGCCTCACGGTAGAATAGGAACCCGGTTCCGGCACCGGATAATGGCGATGGGGCAGACGTGGTTATGGCATCTATGAGGGAGGGGCGGAGGAGGGTATCACGGCCTCTTCTAAAAGACGGAGGGCGGTGGTTGGGGGCTGAGTGAGTCGGCCCCTGTAGTGGATGGTGGAATGGAGGAAAACAGTGGTTAAAAAAACTTGCACATGGCGGGTCTTGGTTCCCAGACCCGCCGGATCCAATGAGTACCCTAAGCTGGAACTGTCGTGGTTTGGCCAACCCACGCACAGTTCGTGAGTTGGTGGACATGGTGTCCCGGAAAAAGCCCGATTTCGTCTACCTAATGGAAACCAAGGTAGGTCGAGATCATGCGGAACGTGTACGTGTTAAGATTGGTTTCAAAGGCTTATTTTTTGTTGATAATGATGGCTTGAGTGGTGGACTGGCATTGTTATGGAGAAGGAATAATACGGCAAGGCTTATATGTTATTCCGCTAATCAGATTGACATAGAAGTTAGTATGACGGGCTTTCCAAAGTGGAGGCTCACCTGTTATTATGGCTATCACGAACGTCACCGACGCACTGAAGCGTGAGATCTCATTAAGTCTCTTGCGCCCAAGTCTGACCTACCATGGGTTATGCTTGGTGATTTCAATGATCTTTTATATCAGCATGAGAAGAAAGGGGGAAATCCACACCCGAATAGGCTGTTGCGGGGCTTTGGGGAAGCTATTGAGCACCGTGGGCTGTCCCAGTTGCCAATGGAAGGATATCAGTATACATGGGAGAAGGGGAAGGGCACGGATCGGTGGATAGAGGAGAAGCTGGATAAGGTGTTAACCACGAGTACCTGGAGTAGCATTGTTCCAGGAGCAAGAGTCACTAATATTTTAACGCGAAAATCAGATCATTCAGCTTTGTTCCTTGGTATTCATGATCCAATGGGTACAAGGGGACCATATAAGAAACGTTTTCGGTTTGAAATGGCCTGGTTATATGATCAGGGCTGCAGGTCTGTTGTGGAAAATTCATGGAACGAGGGCATGGGTAGTGACTTACAGGAACGTGTTATGCGATGTGGAGAAAGATTATCTCGTTGGGGGGGGGGGGGGACCAGTATCATAAGTTTGGTGAGCGAATACTGCAATTAAAGAATGATCAATTGCGGTTAAGATGCCGTACGGACTCAGCATCTTTGGCTGAATTTCAGCGTTTAGAGGAAGAGTTACAATGCATTGAGAACCAGGAGGATGCATACTGGAGATAAAGAGCTAAGCAGCACTGGCTGCAAGGTGCAGATGCCAATACAAAATACTACCACAGGTATGCCTCTCATCGCAAAAAGAAAAACACTCTTTTAAGAATTTCCAATGATAATGGGGATTGGGTGGAGGGAGAGGCTATGAAAAATATTATCCTGGATTATTTTGCTGATATT